GAGTCGGAGGAGAAGCCAGATCTGCAAAGATGTGGGGGAACTGCCTTGCGAGGGGACAGCGGAGTGCAGGCCCCGAGCGTGGCTGGAGCAGAGCGAGCAAGGGACTTTCACGAGCCTGGGGAGGTGACAAGGGTCTCTGGGCGAGATGAAGGCCACAGGGAGGTGTGTTGCTCCCCAGAAACGGCTCACTCTGTGCCCAGGTGGGAGGACAGTGGCGTGATCACAGCTCACTGCAGCCTCGACGTCCTGGGCTCGAGTGAGTCCTGAGTCACTGGGCTTACAGGCCTGCACTCCCATGCCTGGGTACCAAGGGAGTTTTGAGCCGCACAGGAGGGTGGGCCGGGACAGCAGGGTGGGGTGGACGCATCTGGGAGCAGGCTGACAGGACCGATGGGGTGGGGGCACCCGTTTTCTGGCCTGGCCCCTCACCCCACAGTGGGGTTCCCTGGGCTGGGAGGAAATCCAGGCCGCCGGGCCTGAGCCTCGCCCCAGCCTCCACCATTCTGTCTCTGCAGGACGGGCCATGCCCTCCCCTTAGGTCTTCCGTGGCTCTCAGCACTGGAGAGTCCTCTCAGGCCCTGCAAGCTGCACGCCCGCGGGCTGCACGTCTGCCAGGGCCCACACCGCAACGCGCGTCGGCTCCCTTCCGCGGCCACAGCAGGCTCCACGTGCTGTGTGCTGTGCCCCGTCTCCTGGGAAGGGCTCTGGGCCTCAGTCCCCTCGTTTGCGAAGCGGAGGGCACTCAAGGCTCGCTCGGAGCCCACCCAGGGCCGGTGGCCGGTCTTTCTCCCTTGCGGGTCCGACCTGCCTTCGTGCCCAGGGCTGGCCTTCACCTTGCGGCTTGGTCCCGCCACACCCTTTCCTCCGTGACGTGGTGCTCATTCTGGGGCTTGGAAGGCTTCAGGAAGCTGCTGACCTGGGAATCTCACAGTCCAGAGCGCCAGGCTGCGGTGCCCGCCCACCCTGAAGGTGGCCGTGTCCCCTCCAGCCGCAGCCCCCTGCCACTGCCTTCTGGCTCTGATGCCCCCGGGCTCCACTGTGGGGCGTGAGCGCCCAGCACACGTGGACAGCCCCGCACCACTGGCCAAGCAGAAAGGAAGGAGGCCTTCCCAGGGTACCAAGGGCGGGGATGGGGAGAGGAGTGCAAGGAGGCGGCCCGGGCAGAGCGGCCCTGCCCCCCCGAGACACCCCGCAGCCTTCCCGTACCTCCTGGGAGTGCCTCTGCACTGTCCTGGAGGGGCCTGGCGTTGCTATCCCTCCTGCGAAGTGGAGGCTGGGGCCAGGACAGAGGCCCACACCTCAGGCGGGGAGGCTGCCCGGTGCCGGCTGTGCAGACCTGAGGGGCTTCTGGGCAGGCTGCTGGGTGGCTTCCACCCCCTGGGCGCAGTCTTGCTTGCCCACTTCAGAGGAGGGCAGAGAAGAACCCTGCTGGGGAAGAGGCGCAAGATGAGGGCCTTCCTCACCTCCGCCCATGCCGCCCTGGGTTGGGAACAGGGTCTGCGAGAGGCCACAGTCGGGGGAATGCATGGGCGCAACAGATTTCTCTGCTGCAGGACTTCTCAGAGCCTTTGATGGGCTGCTAGACAGTGCGATTCTCTCCTCTCTTGGAGAATCCCTGTGTTGGCTGCTCGGAAGCTCTGAGACAAATCTGGCAAGCGGGGCTCTGGCCTGTGTTCCCGAGTTGTCTGCCCACCCAGGCCTGTCAGCGTGTCTCTGTAACCTGACTAAACTTTTTTGGAACAAGTCAGGTCTTTTCTTTGAGGTTGACTTTTCGATACCAGCCTGCAAGCCTGGAGCAAGCACTGTCTATTCCTGGTTCACACAGGCAGCACCCACTCCAGGCCCTGGGCTGGGAGATCCAGCCGTCCGGGACCGGGTGCCGGGACTTGCTGTCTGTTCAGTCCCTTCCCGCCGCCCCCCGCCCCGGAGGGTCCCCAGGTTCCTGGAAGGACATGGCCTCGAGGGTCCCGAGTGCAGAGCTGGGCCCCTCCGGCCTGGCTCCAGGTGCTGCTGCCGCCCGCTGCCGCCTCCCAAGGGCCTGGGTGTGGCCGAAGCGTGGCGGGTGCCAGAGGGTTGGCTGGGGCCATGTCCCATTCCTGCCCCACGCTGCTGCTTGCAGATGAGTGAGTCTCGGGAGCCCTGGGGGTGGTAATTCTGCCGGTCCCGGGTTGGGCGGTTCTCTCCCCAGGGCTAGCAGCCACGCCCCCCCAGTGAAGTGGATGCTGTCCTCCAGTGCTGCCCCCGCAGGAGGGGTCAGTGGCAGGCCGGCTTTTGCCCCAGGTGATGGGCGCCCCTCCGCCTGGCAGTGAGTCCAGGCTGGGGCCCACAGCCTCAGGCTGGGCCTCCCTCCTTGCTGTGGGGGCTGGGCTTGGCGCACGCCGGCGTGCTTCCCCACCTCGGGGCCTTGGCAATGCCAGCCCTGTGCCTGGAGTTTGAGGTCTGACCACGCTGTCTCCGGCCGCTCGCTGCTGCCCCCAGCCCAGCCCACCTGTCCCGGCTTTTGTCTGAGCGGAAGTCCCGGGAGGACTCGGCCCGTTGGCTGGTCTGCTGGGGCTTGAGGGAACGGGCAGTGACAGACCCAGCAGGGTAGGTGCAGCCTGGGGCCTTGGGCGATGCTCGGAGGGCCATCCGGCCCCAGGACATGACTCTGCCCTGTCCCTTGGCTCACAGGAAGGCTGCCAGAGGGAGGCGAGGCCAAGAGAGACGGGGCGGCTTCTCGCCTGTCACTCATTCCCTTCCGGGCAGGCAGGCGGGGCCCTCGGGCGAGCAGGGGTCGCAGAGGACTGTGCGCACCGCCTCCTTCCAGGTGTCCCAGGGAACAGGAGACGACGGGCCCGGAACCTGCGCGCTGTCCTGTGCAGAAGCACACGGAGCCTCCTGCCCAGCTTCCGTGCCCACCAAACAGACCCGGCGTCCTGGCATTGCTCGCCCTGCCCCGTGTGTTCTGGGTCTTCCTCGGCCAACGCTGGGGCCCCGAGATCACTCTGCAGTCGCCTCGAAGTATGTTTTCTTTCAGTGTAAATGCCCTTCTTTTCCTTTTACCGTGTTCCGGGCAGCAGGTAACCACATCAGTTGTGTTAGTGGGAAAGGAACAAGTCACAGAAGGGGACACTGGGTCTGTAAGGCTGAGAACAGCCAGGCGCGTGCTTAGCGCCTGGGCCACTGGGAAGGGACTCTGCGACTTGCTGGCTGTCCAGACTGGGGGAGACCCAAGCAGTCCTGAACGTGTGACAGTGGCTGCCAGTCTCGCCGTCTGCTTGCACTCGCTCTCCCAAGCATTGTCACCCCTGTGGAAAGTGAGCTCTGTCTTCCAGATGGCAAAACGAACACAGCGAGTGGGCTGAGCCCGGGTCCAGGACCATACGGGAAATGGCAGTGTCAGGGCCGAACCCTACAGCCCAGAGAGTACGAGACCCACAGCGTCGGGGATCAAGTTAGCTGTGGAAATACAAGCCCTACTTTTGGGGCAGTGTCAGAGCTGCTGCATCTTTGAGCTTCCTAGCAGCCAGAGCAAAAAAAAATAAATAAATAAAAAGGGAAATGGATTATTCTGACTGGAGTCACAGTGGCCATAACAAACAGCAGCCAGCTGTTTGGATGCTGGGAGCTGAGAATATGGACTCCCCAGAAGTAGATGCTGCAGGATGTGGTGGGTGACATTCTACTGCTCACACCACAAGTGCCTGAAAGGGCTTGGCCGCTCTGATCACTCAACCCTAAGGTGACTCTAGGCTCGGTCTGGGGAGCAGCTGCTTGCTGGCTAGGCTTGACCTTCAAGGCAGGTGGAGTCGAGAGCATGGGAGGACCGCCTGCAGCCCCCGTGTTCCTCCAGCTGCTGACACTTCCCAGTCACGCGTCTCCCACCACGTAGCTCAAGCCCTGGGCACCTGCGGCTCCTCCCGCACGGTGGCGGCTGCTCCTGAGTTTGCTCTGTGACTGGGCCATCTGGCTGGGGTTATGGCCACAGCCTGGGCAGGGCCTCTGCATGCCCTCAGGACAGACCTGAGGACACCCTCCCCACCAAGCAGCACGGCGGCTGCCACACGCACTGACATGTGGCGGGCTTGGGTTGAGATGGCGGCTCTTGCCGTCGCCGTGGGGGCGGAGCACCCCCGACTGTGCAGCCAGCAGACAGGTGGCAGCCAGGGTTGGCTGTGGGTGAGGAGGGGAATCCTCTCTTCACCGCCCAGCCTGCTCAGCAGTTCCTCGGCACAGGGGGCGGAGCCAGCTCAGAGGGCCCCACAGTCAGAGTGAAACTGGCGGCTTTGCTGGTTAATCTCAGCACTCACATCCACTCACATGGGGCTGGAGCGGAACTGAAAGGGAGACCAGGCCTGTTCCCCTCCAAGGCCTGGCCAGCTTCCTGCCCCTGACACCGGAGGCTGGGAGCCAGTGGGGAGGGCGGGCAGCCGGCCGGAGAAGGAAGCAGCCCTTCTTACCTTCCCCATTTTGCAGACAGGAAGTGGAGGCTCTGTGGGGCTGGCCGGGGACACGGTCAAGAGAGCAGAGGCCCCCTTCCCCACCCGATCTGGCCTCACTCTGCCCTGCCCCATCGTGGCTGCGGGACCTCGGGGAGGGGGACAGAGGAGTCCTGGCTGGGGCTGGCCACTTAGGCTGGCACAGGCTAGTCAGGCAGCGTCTTCCAGCTTCCTTCCCTCCTGTGTAACATCAGTGAGGCAAGGCGGGAGCCGGGTCCGCGCTCGGAGCTCCTGGAGCTGCCTGTCCGTCTCCCTGGCTGCGGGGAGGGCCCTCTGGCAGGTGGGGCGTGGGCAGGAGGCGGGTGGCCGGGCTGTTGGGTTCTGATCCTGCCATTAGAGGTGCCTGGGACCTGTGCCCAAAGAAAGGTGAGATATGGTTTTGGGGACTGAGTCTGCACCATCTTTTGGAAAGGCAAATCCTGTCCAAGATGTGCCCTTTGGGGCTGAGGTGAGGTCTGGCACCTGAAGCCACTGGGGCGGGAACATGCCTGTTGGCCTGCCTCTGGTTTCTGTCCTCCCAGCATGCTTGTCAGAGGCTGCGATGTTCCAGAGTGCCTGGAGGGAGGAGCCCAGTCGGCCACCTCTGTCCATTCCTGTCGCATCTTGGGCTCCCTCCCCCTTCTCGCCTTTTGGCCTCTGCTGGAAGCAGCTATCAGCCATCTATCTCATGACCCTGAAGAAGCAATCTTATCGGTCTCATCACAAGAGGAAGTACAGGACAGAAGGGCAGGGGAGGGTGAACCCCTGACTGAGAAAACTCCCACCCCACGCTGGCTCCTGGGCTGGGAGGTGCCCGAGAACAGGGGCATCTCCAGGGTCAGCTGCGTTTTGGTCCAGGCAGGCCCCGAAGAGTTGTTCCTGCTGGCAGAGGGGCAGGTGGCCAACCCCTACCCACCCTGCAAGGGGCCAAGGGCTTGTGGTTTCAGGGCTGGCTATCCCTTGGGCCAGCCCTCAGGCTTCGCCCCTCTGGGCTTGGTGCGATGCGTGTTCAGCTGCGAACATACCCTGATGTCAGCAGGCATCTGGGCCAGAGCTGGAGTTCCGCCTGCAGGTCCAGGGGCAGGGGGCTGGGAGGCCTGGCCCTCAGCAGCTCCGGGGAAGGGCGCTGGGGCCTCTCTCCAGGCTCGATGCCAGCTCAGCAGCACATGGAAGCCCACTCTGCCAGCAGGGCTCTTGGGACAGCAGACAATCTCAAGCCCAGTAGAAGCAGCGCTAGGGACAAGACTTGAGTGCCACCTCTTGATCTCACAGAGCTCAAAGCCCAAGCTCCAAGCAGCCTGCTCCAGCATCCAGGAGGTCCGGCGCTGCACACGCCTGGAGATGCCCGACAACCTTTACACCTTTGTGCTGAAGGTTAGCGGCGGGCTTTCCACACCCTGGGGTGGTATGGACATGTGCTTTAGACCCACAACTCCCTTCCTCTCCGCCAGGTGAAGGACCGGACAGACATCATTTTCGAGGTGGGAGATGAGCAGCAGCTGAATGCGTGGATGGCCGAACTCCGGGAGTGCACAGGCCGAGGGTGAGGCCCAGGCCCTGGCCGCGGCCCAGCCTTTACTGCTAGCCCTGACCAGCCCAGGTCCCTAACCTCAGCCTCTTTCCCAGCAGGCTGGAGAGCACAGATGCAGAGCTGCATACACCCTCAGCCCTGGAGCCCAGCACATCCAACTCCCCAAGGGGCAGCATGGATTCCCTGAACCAAGGTGAGTGAGCCAGTGGTCAGACCGCTGTCCTCCAAGTGTGCCAGAACTCAGCTCCACCCAGGATCTGGGCTCTCACATGGGGACACTGTCACCGATGATCTCCAATAGGTGCTTCTCCCGGGGGCTTGCTGGACCCAGCCTGCCAGAAGACAGAGCACTTCCTGTCCTGCTACCCCTGGTTCCATGGTCCCATCTCCCGAGTGAAGGCAGCCCAGCTGGTTCAGCTGCAGGGCCCCGATGCCCATGGCGTGTTCCTGGTACGGCAGAGTGAGACCAGGCGTGGGGAATACGTGCTCACGTTCAACTTCCAGGGTATAGCCAAGGTACGGGGCAGGGCAGGCAGGGCTGTGCCAAGCCTCTCGCTGGAGTCCAGGGTCCTCGGGGACAGCCCTCCCACCGTCTTCTCCTCCCACAGCACCTGCGCCTGTCGCTGACCGAGCGGGGCCAGTGTCGCGTGCAGCATCTGCACTTTCCCTCGGTGGTGGACATGCTGCACCACTTCCAGCGCTCGCCCATCCCGCTTGAATGCGGCGCCGCCTGCGACGTCCGGCTCTCCAGCTACGTGGTCGTCGTCTCTCAGCCACCAGGTGTGACCCTGCTGCCCTGTGCTAAAGGGGGTGGCCGGCACAGGGAAACTGGGTAGAGGGTGAACCCTTGCTGAAGACCCCGGGGGCCTCCTAGAGGTCTTTTGTGTCCTGTTAGCACTTGCGTCAAAACACTGACAGTGTGGTTTCTCTCGGTCACTTGTCCCAGGTTCCTGCAACACTGTCCTGTTCCCCTTCTCCCTCCCCCGCTGGGATTCAGAGCTGGGCCTTGCCCACCTCGGCTCTCCTGGCTGTCCCCGGGGCTTCGGCCCAGAGGGCCTCCCAGGCCGATCCTCGCCCCCAGAGCAGATCTTCCACCTCGTGCCTTCGCCCGAGGAACTGGCCAACAGCCTGCGGCACTTGGAGCCTGAGCCCGTGAGTCGAGCCCGGGACTCCGACTACGAGATGCACGCGTCCTCCCGGAGCCACCTGCGGGCCATAGACAATCAGTACACGCCACTCTGATGGTGAGGCGCCCCAGGCCTTGAGACGCCATCAGGAGCACAGAGACGTGAACTTGTGAATGTAACGATCTTTCCTTCTTCCAGAGAGATTTAAGGGGCACTGGTAACTGCACGTTCTAGTTTGGAGGTGACCCTTCTATTGGGCCTGTTAAAGGGCCTCCTGTTAAGTTTCACCCATCACCTGGCTTTCTCCTTACTGTTTACAGGTGTCGTTCTTGTTCGCAGATGCCACTAGCTTCTGCCCTGGGTCCCCCAGACCAGTCCCCATCCCTCTTGGAGGAGGAGGTGGGGTGAAGGCCAGAGCTGGCAGTGGAAACGTTCTTTTTTTCACTGGCACTGTTACAGACGATGACAGACTTTCTATGGGAAGGGGGTCATCAGGAAGCCCAAAACACTAACAAGGCCTGGATTCTCACATAGTTTTCCAATTGTAGCCTCAATCCACGTGGCAGTTCCTCTGTAACCACGCCACAGATGGTCACACCTAATCCTGCTTCTCCTCTCAGCTTTAGGACAAAAGCTCTGTCGGAGGAACAAGCTAAAGATCAAAAATGATGTTAAACATTTTACCTCAGATTAATTTTTTTAAAGGATTCAGGTTTCAAAACTAAACCATTGCTTAATTCATTGCACTGTTTCAGCTGATACCCATGCGACTTTTGTAGTCAGAGACAGCTATGCAAACCCTACTTGACTAGTTCACGGTTGGAGCCAGCACGCCTGGCTTCCGTGTCTGTTGCATCCTCAGGACAGTCACCTGCCGCTGAGTAGCCACTGTCCTTCCTAAATGCAGAGAAGTGAAGCGTCATACGCTTTCAGGGAAACTCAGGCCATTACAGAAGAGGATGGCAAGGACAGTTCTACCCTGGTGCCTTATGAAAAAAAAAAAACTGGATTCTGGTTTACAGCAGCTTTATAGTGAGAGTTAAGTTAACTGGGGGTGGGGAGGGATGAGCCAGAAGCGAGGAAGAGCTCCTGGCCCCTTCTAGTCAACCTTTCAGCGACAGACTGGCACAGAGCCCTCCAGGCATCTAATCATGGCTTATTAAATTATCCCACAAGTGGATCTTAGGCTCCCTTGTGAGCCAAAATGGAAGCTAGGAATCTGGTGCCATAGCTAAGGACAAACTCCTTCAACAGCTCACAGCCGGCGTTCTGTTCCTGCGTTTGATGAAGAATGAGCGTCCATGCACACACGGGCACACACAACCTCCACCGTCCAGGGAGGCCCTGAAGTCAGATCTCCACCTGTACTTGCCTTTCACAAGTGACACAATTCATGGGGGGGGGCTGGTTCCTCCCAGAACCTTCATGTGGAGGCTCAGAAATAATAGGGCAGTGCCAGCAGAGCTGTTCAGGACAGCCACCGGGCTCTCTGCAGTGGCTTCTGGGAAACCGGGAGTTTGGCACAGGTTAGCAATTACAGATAACACCAGTCAGAGGCTAAAAGGATACCACAGCCTAAAACTAACAATCCTGACTGCCATCTGGGAGAAGGGTGAGGCCTGCTCCCCAACAGGTCAGACTTGTGCTTCTAGAATCTTCAGGAGGGTAAGGAACAGCCACTTCTGCACCACTTTTAAAACACACTCCTGGGTGTTTTCATGGACCGTGAAGCAGATCCAATACTGATCCAGGTTTGCAGTTCAATTTTAAGGACACCCATCTTTCCTTTTGTTTTCTCTAAGTCAAGCAATTTCTCTAGGAAATGAATGCTAAGAAGTGTGAACCAAAGGAGTGAGCAAGATTCTGGATCTCTTTTTAAAAGAGAGCTTATCAATGGAAAGTCACTGCATGAGTCACCGTTCCCAATTTTCCTGCTGTCTGCATAGGAAAGGTGCCAGGTAGATAATGAACCCAGTAAGTTCCCTCCCTCCAGCCAGAAGCTTCAACATCTGGGATGTGACATCTGCAAGCCAGGGCCACTCATTCCTTGGCAGCCTCTCAACCTACCATCTTTCAGGTGGTGCCGAGAGGCATGCCGGGTGCAGCAAATTAGCAGTTCTGACCCCACTGGCTGAAAAGTACAAGCTCAGATTCTGTGGCAGAGAATTGGAAGTCACCTGCCTCCAGACTGCTTCCTTCCTAAACACGTCCAGGTTACCAGGACAGCTCAAATACAGTCTCACAACCCCCTGGTGGCCTGGGAAGAAGTGACACTAAGTCAATGCCTTTTCTTTGTGCTAGAGCAGGTCCTGCTGGTGAAGGCGGGCAGCAGTGTGGGGCAGGCACCCCACTGGCTGCAGCTGGTCCTGATAAGGCCAAGCCAGCAACCTCCACTGAGAGCCAAGGCTCAGCATCAAACCGGGCGGTAGCATCAGGATCCCTCCAGTGAGCTCTCATTACAGACCCCAAGTATAGCTTGACAGCTCCTGGCACCGTCGCTTCCTTCAGCTGACTTGATCAAACTTTTACAAACTAACAGTCACCAGCACCAAAGAATTAAGTCAACTAACCTGCCTTGAATTTTAGACCAGCAATCCATATGGCTTTATCTGGTATAAATCTTCTGCCTTTGATCATTTCTGGATCGTGTAGGAAAAAGGAATACCAATCATTAAAATCTTGGGCCAGAGAACACTATTTTTACATAACAGTTTCTTAACCTAAAATCAAAGCCCCGAATGCTTCCCTGAGGGCTGCCTGAGATTCCTTCATGCTTTCTGTTCAGGGCTAAGTCTCTTATTGCAAATGTTGTGTTAGCTCTAACATTTCCCACAAACTAGAGGAACCTGATAGCATATTATCCACTGCCTCTGAACAAGGACACATCTGACGTCAGTGCTTGCTTGGAATATGCAGCACATGGTGACCACACAAAAAATGGATTCATCTTGTATCATGACAGGCAGAAGGTATTTGGCAAATGTTTATGTATTGTTTATGTACTGTACAAGTAACTTATTCTTGAATAATGCAAATTTTGCTATAATGTACAGATTGCTGTATGAATTAAACGTTTTCAGAATCCTGATTTGTCACAATATTTAAAGGCTTGATTAAGACTATGGTCTCTACAAAATCCTTACCCTGCTGAGATACTCGCTTTTCCCCTTTGTCTTTCTTCCACAATTTGGGGATATTAACAGATGCTTAGGATTCTTTGTCAATAAGCTGCTTTGTACATCTTTGTATCTTTACAACCATTCTGTCCTCTGGTTTTCTTTATTGCAATTTTTTTTAAAAAAGTGTCTACTGCTCCCTACTGGTAAGACAGATGCCAGAATTGGAACAACTTCGGGTTTGGGAGATATTAAAAAGGAAGCTTACAGGATTGGTGTCAGCCTGAGGATGTGGAACTTCAGTGCTACCCAGCTCTGGCCAGCCTTCCTTCTCATGAAGCAGACCTCTAATCCACCAAAGAGAATACCTCAGTTTTGTCTTTTTCTAGATACCCTGAAACCAGAACTAAAGGTGAGGAAAAATAACTTGACAACTACCTTCCAGGATAAAAAGCACACTTAGCCTGCCTGCCTTAACAGAAGTATCTTACACAAACACACACTAACTTGATCAGTTTTTAAAACTTTTTTTATTTTTTAATTTTTTTTAAGTTTTTATTTTATATTATCTACAAAGTAAAAGTTTTTCCCTTAACTTAAAAGTTGAACCACTGTAGACAGTGATCACTTCATCAAACTTGATTTATAAATAATAACCCGTCAGTTTGACGGTAAGAATTCACTGAACCTCTGTCAAGTTTAGTAAAAGGGCGTTCCAAGTCTTGATTTTTTTTTTTTAGCAGTAATAGCAGCAAGAATCACTCTTGTTACTTCTGTTGCTAGCTGATGTGTTCATGACTTTCAAGGGTCATTAAAAAATAAATAACTTCCAGTTTCAGCAAGCAGAGCTGGGGTACTTGCGGGACTTTGAAACAGCGTATGGAATCATGGAATAGCCCACAAGTTCCTAATTTTTTGCCTCTACTCGGTCCAAATATCTTCCACTGCAAGTGAACTGTTAGCATTCCTATTGGATGTTACAAGAAATCAACATATATTTTTAAAAAACAAAATAAATGAAATCCTAGTTTTCTGTGCTTCCAGTTGGTAGAAGCAGTAGAAGGGAGGAGGGAATTTGGCCTTTCGGGTCCTCCAGCGCAGCCTTACAACTGCTGTTGGTGGTGGGCTTGTACTGCAAGAAAGAAAAGTGAATATTTAAACAGAAAACTGGCAACACATTAGCCTAGTGTCTCTGCGGCACACGACTTGTAAACTATACTCGTGCTAGCTGAACAAGACTCAAAATGGAATTTGCCTTCCCCCTCCCATCTGCACCAAGGGGGTGAGGGGTGGGTGGCAGGTAGAAACAAACCGGTCAGACGTAAAACCATTTCAGATAAAACTCCCAGAAGACTCGTTTGTGGGGTAGAAAAAAGAGGCCTTAACGCACCCCCTCCCCAAATGTTAGCCAAGCACCAGTACTGCTTTCAGAGTAACAGGTCAGACTGTGAAATGTTGCCATGGCAGCCTCGAGTGAGCACAACCGCAGGGCGCTCTCCCTGTCAGGGCATAGGCTGGAGCTAACGCTGCACTCAAAGCCAGTCCATACACAGCACTTGCTCATCAGTAGTCTTCTCCAGAGCTACAATCAAACTCTGCCATGGTAGTAACCCCCCACGTGTCCGACTGGTGGGACTCAGGAAGGAAGACACTGCCCTGTCCAGCCTATCATAACAAGGAAGGCCAACTGAGTCCTAGGCATGCATCAGCTACACAGAATGCTGCTGCTGCTTCTCCTCAAGCCAAATCCTGTATACCATCAGAACACACACAGATCGTCTCCCAGAAGCCTCAGGCCCTGACGCTGAGCTGATCGTCACAGTTCCTCCTGTGCACACTCTTGGACGGGTCTCGCTAGTTCTCAAATGCGGGCTTGAAGCACTGGCCCTGCCTGCCATTCAACCTGTGCGAGCGGAATGCTTTGAGGTGCCCCGGCGGCCCCTGCACACACACGCCTCACCTGAAGGGTGCGTCATATAGGGGAAATGCGCTGTAGTCGAGACTGGAATGGGTTGTAGTGCACTTTGAGCGAGGGCGGCCTGGGGACCGCCGGGTGGCTGTGTCGTCATTAGCATCATTGGCGCATGGGCAGTTGGATGAGAAGGAACCATTCCTGACTGTACATGAGCCTGAAACAGAGAGCTCTTTTACGCATACAGGCAACATCTTTGGCTTAAACAACATGTCAACTGTGTTCCTTTCACCGGACTGGGATTCTCAGCAAAGGGCAATGGTGGGCCTCAGGGCCTGGTTCTTTTCTCTGGGGATACACCCTCGTGGATTATCAACTGACCTAAAGACATGCTTCACCTTTTGGCAGATCCTGCAAGGCTGGGGAGCAGGCACCAAATGAGCCTGGGTAAAAGTCAGGGCTGCACTGTCCTAGTCATCATTTCTGGTCACTGTATTCTATGTATGGGTAAGGTCTTCACAAAGATCAGACCCCTGATCCAAGGGCAACTTTCTCAACTTAATATGACACAAGATACAATGATGCTTCAGAATCTTGCTTCCATGTGGGGCCTGAGATTTTACAGACAACATCCCTTTCAAATAGGAAAGCAGATTACTACATTATAAGCAGGGACTGTCAAATTCCATTATATGGATGACTTAGACCTCTCC